GGCTGCCCGGGAGTCGGAAATCGGAGCCGCTCCCGGCTTTATGGGGCAGATTTGGGGTTGAGCCTGGACTTCGCCCAGGACAGCGCTGGCATCACCCGAGGCGCCAGGTGTGGGCCCTGGATGATAAGGAGCCTCCATAAAAAGGCCATGGACCTGGGACCCTGAGGACCCGAGGGTCCTGGGTAGGCGTGGGGTACGTGGAAATACCGACAAGGCCTGGGCCTCCAAGGGGCGCCCACCCCCTGTAACAGCAACTCCATGTGGAAGTGTCTGCTGGTTCCAGTGGGGCTGCTGTTATCTGGGGTGGGGGCCAGTACCGACGAGGAGAGGCAGATCCCACCCACAGCCCACGGAGACCTGCACGGCGATGCTCCTGGGCCCAGGACGGCAAAGGGGGGTGGGCTTGGCAGCTGCCAAGACCGAGTGCACAGGGCTCTGACCTATGAATTGACAGCCAGTGCCCTCGTCTCTCCTCTGGCTGCCAATTCCATAGGTCACAGGTATGTTCGCCTCAATGCCGGCCACTGGGACCTGCAGGGGCAGGGGCAGGGGCATCAGCCGTCAACGGAGACCTTGCTTCCAGGCGCAGCTTTCAAGGCCCCGCCTTCCTCCATCTCCTTCCCCCTTCCGCTTCCCCTTTTGTAACTGAACGACCTTGGTGCTCCACCTGCACTGCTGGGTGCCTCTATGCTTTGCCCATGCTGTCCCCTCTGCCTAGAATACCCTTCCCAGCGTTTTCTCCCGATTGGGTGCCTACGCTCGGGGAAGAGAGAGAGAGAAAGTGAGAGATCACCCCCCAAGGGAATGGCCATGCCGTGATCCCTGCTCCTCCATTCTCTTCTGGGCTTTTGGACATACACACACTTGCGCCTGGTATGTTTTTCGAGTTGCCGGGTCTGGGACTCGAGACCGCACAGTCACATGTGGGTTCCAGTCACCTTATGCTCTGTGCCATCTGCTGGCCTCCCCTTCTCAGTTCCCAGTTCTTTGGCCAGGCTCGCTCTTACATGCCATTTCAGGCCATACCCCACCTTTGCTGCCTCCAGGAGGCCTTCTTAAAGCCCATTGGCTCCCAAGTGCCCACCTAGGCACCTGCAGCACCCCAGGCGTCCCTGGAGCACCACACTCACCAGGCCACTTGTCATCGTGTGCTTGGGTTTCCCTCCTTGCCGTCTGCGAGCTCAGCCCCGAGCCCGGGTGGGCGAGCCTCGGCACACGCTCCATAAATTGTCCTGAACAGATCCTGAGCCTCATCTTGAACCCAAGGAAGCACCCACTGGCGTTCATTCTGCACCCCAGTCTTTGTGCCAGAGCGCCCTCTCCAGCACACAC